TATATTTATATGCAGTATGCACACACATACATTGTTTTCCATATGTAAAGGTCATGTACTTAGGGACTGTTTGTTATTTATTAGGGGGAGGCATGTCAAATATTTTTTAAGCACTGGGGAGGGACCTAAGTTTTTTTATTTTGGTTAAGAAGAGGGGAGGGATGTTCAACTTTAAATGATTGAATTTTGTATTTATTATATTTGTCTATTTCAATGTTCATTCATTCCTTTAATTAATTCACAGCCTGAAATTGTAAAACCAGAGATTATCGTTGGATTTTCAAATTCCTGACAGTCCATGTACACATTATGTGGGACTAAGGCGCTGATCACACAGAAAGCATTTTGCAGGTTGCAAAACACGAGGCGCGCCTCACTGCCTTTTTTTTTTTTATTGAATGCCACTAGTAAAAAAACGCTTGCTGAACCTTTTTATTGTTGTCAGGCAACCACCCCATTACGTCCTTAAACTAACCTTCCCGTGTAATCTATCTACCATTTTTCTCTCACAGTAATTAGTAGCTAGTTCCTAAAATGTTCAGGCAGAGGGTACTTGCTGTGTCTCTGGCTGAGGGTGAGCTGTCAGTAAATAGTTTGTTGAGCACAGGGAAACAGAGATCTGTGTGGGGACAAGAGACCCTAAAAAAGAGGGTGGATCACAGGGAGTGACACTAGTTGGTCCAGGAGCTTCGCCTCCATGATGGCTGTTTCCAGGCATATTTTAGGAAGACACGGGGGCAGCTTGACAACCTGCTATCTATCATTAGGCCACAAAGGGATCCAGCAGCTGCTACAGCCAATTTCTCCTTCATTGTTTACCAGCTGTAAACTTGTTGTCATGACCACCACAGAGGGCCTGACTCCCAAACCCAATTGAACAATGGGAAAAAAAGATGAAAAAAGAAGAGATGACGTGGAGCGCTTTTCCGCTCTGAGTTGAAGTCTTTCCAACCTGACGAGTTTAGAGCGCTTCGGCAAAAACGCCAGGCACCTAGAGTGCAGAACAAAAAGCTCCATTCTCAAAATGGATGTTACAAATCATAATAAGGGGCCGGGCAGCCTAAGCAAATTATGAAGTCCATCACTGTTTTTTTCAAAAACTGTAAAACTTATTAAACCTATCTCCTCCCACAATTTTTGCTCAATTGACACCAAACTTGCTACAGAGCATCTTCAGACTGTCCTACACAAACGATCCACACAGATTTTTGATTTATCGAAAATTGAGCCTACAGTGCATCAAAATGTTTGACTGTAAACGGTAATGTAAACATATACTTGCAAATTTTTGCTAAATACATTTTCAATGTTCATTTAAAAAAAATGACAAAATTTTGGAGTCAAGGTAGATGATGTTTGGAAAATTTCAGAATTTTATCTCAAAAACTGAATTTTTTACAGCATTTTGAATTTCACTCTCATGCGAACAATTGGAGTCGATGCAAAAATGGCATTTTTAAACATCAGTTTTTCACTTATGGAGCCAATAAATCATTGTTAAAAACAAATTACCAACATCTCCATACTGTCTAGATGCAATTTTTGTATTTTCGGATTTTTGTCTTAATAACTGAATTTTTGACAGCCGTTTGAAATCTGCCTTTACACACTAACAGCTGCTGTCTTGCACACAGGTGACTGGCTTAGTCAATTTGTGAAGCTACATGAGACATCTCTGTTTGCCAATTAGCTCAGCGAGATAGAGGATGGTTCTTGGTGTTGAAGATTGTGAGTTCAAGCCTCAGCTTGTGCAACATTTCCATATGAGAAATCTACCTAAACTTTTCATAAAGGTCCAGTCCCATGCCAGATGTCCTCAACTGGAAACACAAGACAATAGTCCTGATGGTGGCGCTACAGCAAGCCTCTAAATTTCAAAACTTTGAATATTCATAACAAATCAACCATATGTGCTACAGCTTTGGAACTTTCACTTTGAAATTTGCTTTTCCATGGCATGGATGGCTACTGTCTGGCACCCTGATGCTTGGCTTAGTCAATTTGTGAAGCCACACATGAACTGTCACTTGCCAATTAGCTCAGTGAGACAGAAGACGGACCTCAGTCTCAGAAGTTGAGAGTTCAAGCCTCAGCTAAGGCAGAACGGACATTCTAATGTGAAAGGCCTATGTTCAGGCATCATGCTATGTGGATTAGAGACTACCAAGGTTAAAATAATTATGATCCAGGCAGTTTTGCGGAGAGACAAATACTCTTTATCAACACTTTTTCCTGTTATCCCTTGTCTCTTTTCCATGTTTATTTGGCTTAGCTATCAGGCAATATGCAGAGTCTATCCAATAGCTACTTTTACATTTTAATGTTTTCATCTTTGTCACCATGGACAATGTTTAGCTTTAAGCTAGATCAGGCCAGTTTGTTCATAATTGCTAGCAGTTAATGTTATTCTTACTTTCTTGTTCTTGAGTTTTTTCTTTCCTTTGTATATTATGAGTCTGATCACTTCAGCCACTCATCCACAATTTGAAGGGCATGCCATAATTATATGATGTAACTTCTATGTTGTGATATGCTCTGTTTTAGTGTGTGTGTTACTCAGAATTGCCTAATTTTGCCTAAAATTGCCCAGCCCCGACCATTGGTGCGCAGCAGCTATAATTATGAAATGTGCTTCAGTGACAAATGAAGGAGAGGAGTGTTGTACAGTGAGGCACATAAAGTTTCTGAGAATTTCTAATTAAAAGCAGTTACCAAAAGCCGCCTTCAGCTACTAAAATGCTTTCTGTGTAATCAGTGCCTAAGGCTTCAGAAAAAAAAAAACACAAAAACAGATCTGAGCTTAAAATAGACTTTAGTCTATGTCTCATTTAAAACTTTGCCATATATTAACCATGTGTACTAACTAATCAGCATGCACAACAAGAGTGAAAGACCAAGTTTTTTCAGCTTCAGAATTTCACCTTTACCTTTAAATTTCAAACATTAAAGGGTGAGTTTTTAAAACCTAATAATTAATTTATGGTGGAGGGAGAGTCATGCATTTTCCGCCAATAACTCGGGGAGGCTCAAAGAAAAATACTTCAGTTTTGGGGAGGGTGAAAAAAAGTCACACCCAAGCCACCCCTCTCTTCTGATGAATAAAGAATAATCCCTTAAAATATGTAAACTTTGGGGGTTTTAATCTTGTGTTTTGAACTATATGCAGAAAACATTGTTTGTGTTAAATGCAATTTATTCTTGGTTTATTTTATTTCATCTTAGATTTTTGCTTTTGTCTGTGAAGTATTTGTTATCACATCATATTAGACAAGTATGTTACTGTTTGGGTGTAACGTTACACAGTTACGTTATCAAATCAGCATTAGCTTGTTAGCAGCTTCTTTTTCATGATAGCTTATTCCCGCCACGAAGCCTTGCACAGTGTACCTACATCCCTGTGCAGCATCTTGCACACACACCATGGCTCTGTATGTGAACCAATGTAGTTCATACTTAACAGTCTCACCTCTGGTTGACACAGTTTGGCGTTATAAGACGACAGAGTCACAGTCACTCGGTCTCTCGCCTCCGAAAACATCGAGTCGTCAAACGTGCTCCCAAATATCTCCATCCGGACCCGAAAAAGCCAACTTCAACAGGTAAACGTGTCCGGAAAAACACAAACAGCCAGCTCAACTCGTGCTCTGTTTGTTTACACCGGGATACACTTCATGGTTACGCAGTCCTTTACTGTGAAGCGCACGACTAATGCAGTGTCCAGGGTTAACGGTTCCGGGCAGAAAGGTTCCGACGGATGATTAAAAAAAAGCTTTTTTCTTTCATTTTTAGAAATTAATTATTTTATTTTAGCTCACGAAAAATATACAGAACAAGTCAGGATATAGATGTACAAAGACAGACGATATGATTTAGTAACAATGGTGGGAACAAGCTACAACAATCAAATACAAAAAACAGCAATAGTTGACATGATTTTGGAAATCAAAAGAGAAAAATGTTGTTTTAAACGAAAAGTCAACAACATTAATAATATAAACAAACAGCACTTATATATATATATATTTCCTATGCGTTCAGACAATAACATATACAGTAAATGTCATTTAATCAAAAATACATATTGAGAGCAATGTAAGTGTTTTATATCAGAAAAGATTTATATAAAATGTATTTAACACAAAGGGCAATGCATTTTTCCATTTGATAGACATCTCAAACATTTCTGAATTTGTATACATTTTTTATATCAAAATTAATCAACATTAAATGCAAAGTCCATTTAAATGCTTGGATCCCAGATTTTCAAGAAGAGAATTACAAGATGTCTCATGTTCTAACGTCAATGATTACATTTTTTAAATGGTGATAAAGAAAAAGAGGAAAAGCTAGCATGTGATCATTATATGACAGTATCATGAATCACAAATAAAGGATCAAAACATTGACACAACTTCAAACATATTGCAAACATTTACAAAGTGAGTGTATGCATGACCAAAATGAGCTACAGAGTGAAATGAATAAATCAGCTGTTGCAGTTACTAAATAACAGTGATGTCTTAGTGTTGTGTAGTCAGCTGTGTTTAGGTGACAGTGGACATGCTCTCAGCTTCACTCATTCCAACAGTTACACTCGGCCTGGACCTGTTGTCTAAAACACATATCAGAGGAGAATTTGTCATAACACCACAATGACATAAGAGCTGAGAAAAACAAAATATTGAATTCTCTTACTTTGCACAAATGAAATTAAACTTCTTGTGGTCAGGCTTGCTGGACCAGAGATGGTCCTCTTTGGTCTCCATGGCAACGCTCATGTCACACTCCTCTATCTTTCCATCTCGATCCCAGTGATTGAATTTTACACATTGATCATTGACCCAGAACCAGAAGTCCAGGGAGCAGCTGTAGCGAAGGCCCAGCCACACATAGGGAGTTTGGGCTTTCTTGGCCTCCAGCTCAGCCCAGGCCTGGGTCTCTTCATCAACGATGGAAGCCAGGTCCATGTGTCTGTCCTGGCAGTAGTAGAGGGCATCTTCCCATGTCTTGTTCTCTGGGATCAGCTGAAAGGGTGACTCTAGGGAAAAAAAAAAAAAAAAAAAAAAAAAAAACACATGTAAAATGTATGAAGTGAATATGTGACCATGCAAGCAAATCTGAGCAGGATTAGGGCAAACACACAAGATTTTTATTTTTTTTTTTTACAAGAAAGACTTTCTGATCATGGCTTTGTCCTTGTGTAAAAGACAACTCAAAGTCTTTCAACTTTTATTCACTGCAACTCTTACTCTTTCAGAATATAAAACAAAAGGCAAAAACACAGAATCAGACAGTATGAGATGGAAAGTTTCCCAGAGTGAACATCTGAGAGAAAAACAGAAAGGTGCGACACGAATATGAGCCCTTGTCATGTGATTTCTTAATTGCAGCATGCCCTGTCAGTCTCCTTGCAAAAACATGTGACATCTGAGGACTGAAATACTGAAAACTTCCAAATGATTTTGTTATTCTCTTCTACAGTGTGAAACCTGTGAAAATACTCCATCATACACGCGTACATCAGAATATGATTCATCATGAATCAAACCTTCAGCCCTGTGGCCATCACTTGTTGTAGTTTAGTGCAATAGGTTTTTACTTACTTGCTTGTTTGTCATAATACTAAATGTTCTTGTATTAATATGCAATTTGTCCACATTTGCTGCAAAGAAGACATTTTAGTAAAGTATTAGCTCATCTCAAAGCTACTCACTTTGTGGATGAGAACAGTTATTATACCTTTTTTTGTGCTGCAGATCTTCACTTCACACAGAATTAAATTCCTGCTTGCCAGTAAGAACACAGTGATGTAGCGCCCTGACATTTTTGCATTACATTTAACCTCATACCACTGGCCTGGTGTGAAGTCTGTGATGTTGTTACACCTGTAAGAGAGGAAAAGATGAACATAATGTTAGAGGGAGAGATAAGGGGGATCTTTTAGGGTTCTTAAAATAACTTCAACTGTGTGTCATTCAGATGAGACATGCCCATGTTGTTTATCCTACTATGCTTTAATATCACTGAGTAAATATTCTTCTGTTGGCCTAATATTTACTTCAGAGTACTGAAGACCACATTTACGTGGCATTGTTGAAGACCCTTGATTTGCATTTAGAGCAGCCCAGATTATTATGGGATGGATTCAACTGTAGCAGATTTGTCAGCTAAACAGTCAGTTTGTGAACTTTACTCCAACATAGTTTAACAAAAATAGGTTTCAGACTTAACTATGCTGTTCACATCAAATTCCTAACCTACCTATAGTATGTTATGTAACCTAAAAATAACATCAGACAATTTTTGCCTCCTTTTAGGTGGCAGTGAAAATGAGTAATCCTCAACATTTGTTATGTTGTGATTTTACACACAAAACAGGATGATTTCTTTTTCATTAGCAACTATCATGTTTTTCCCAATGTACAGATTTTTAGGCATTCTGTTACCTCAAATGGTTTAAAAAATAGCGAATATAGATGTCATAAATGGAACCTCGAAGCCTGAAAATGTGAAATAAAGTAATTCAAAGTAACATGTATTGAGGCCTACATGCGGTTGGTGGTTCCATTATTCTCACTAGAGTTCCCGATGAAGATCTGAGCACCGCTTATATCAGTATTATGCTGCTTTATGTTGTAGATATGGATAGAAGTGATTCTGTAGACACTCAGCAGGTCAATTCTCCACCAGGAGTTGGGCAGTTCCAAGGTGTGAGCACATTTCGACAGATTTCCATCAATAGCTCTTTCAGAAGTGTATGTGACACCGTCAGTTTGGTAGTCTGACGACTGGGATGTTGTCACCTTCTGTGACAAAGCTGTCGTCAAAAACAGAAAAAATATAGACTTCACCTGAACACATTATTGGCTCTTACATATTTAGCATAGGAATACTGTTATACTTTTTTGCATCAACTGAGAGAAGTCAAGCTGAGTGTAAAAAAGCATTGTCCTACCTGTTTCATGGTCTTTTAAGTGTGCACATCCTGAAATGTCAGAGGGTTATATAAGAATTCCTGTTTTCATTTTAAGTTTTGATTTCAGTCATGTCCAGTTACTAAAAACTATAATATTAATGCCTGGCAATACAACAGCAAGCACAGTATCCTTAATATATAATATATAGTCAAGTTTCTAAATACTGTGCTACATTCAGGAGTGTAGAGCAGCTGAACAATTAAGTATTAAATTATTTTATCCATGATTCACTTTTTTGAGGATCACCCCCAAAATTCTTTGTCACTCACAGGCATGTGCACAAAGTGAGCTACTTACCAATCAGAGACATTAACAATAGACTCCACAGCATCTTTACTGTGGAGGAGAAAATACAGCAACATCAATTGAAAGGGGAGAAGTCCGATGTTCTATAAAAGTGCCCACAGACAAATAAACTGATCAGAAAAATCAATTTCCTTTCAATGGCACTAATGTATCAACCTACATCTGAGAGGAAGAAAATACTGTGAGGACTCTTTAACATTACAAAGGTTGAAAAATGATCATTTAGATTGTACTAAACTCACTCACCTTGTCGGCCTTTCTCGCTCTCTTGCTCAACAATTTTAAAATGATGCAGTTCTCCCAGCTATAGCTGCATTTGTACTTATCTCCCCACCCTGACTGCTGTCTATAGGAACACATACTAATCCCAAACAACGTCATCTCTCCTGGTTGCCAGTTGGAGTCCAGCTCTTGTTTCCATAGTCAAAGCACCCCAAGACTTGTATTTACATCTTTCAAAATACAGTATTGTGACTGTAATGCTCTCTCTGGTCAACCTACATCAGGGCATGACTGTTCCTACAGCTGTAAATATGTCTGCATCTCCCTGACATTTGCTTAAAAACATAATGTTTTGTGTTTAGTACAAACATATACAAATCTGTCCCCACTGCTTCTGGGTAAAGTACTGTTATCTGTAGGCTTACTGTGAAAGAAATTTGATTATAAGTTAAGCATTATATTTCAAAGAACAACTTTCAACTTGTGATGGACTCTTAGAAAATACGATCTGATGGTTCAGTTAAAACACTGTTAATACCCTCAACAGCAACAATAAATTCATCACATGACTACAGTAGCTACAGTGATAAAGAGTTAAACCTCAATGAAACAAATGTGAATAGTGATTGTTTCAATGGGACACTATGCACTACTTTCCACTCTGAATCTGCATTTATTCCAGACTGCTTCATTTCACATATATTCAAAGCAAAACATGCAAAATGTTGCTCAAAAGCGCACATCTTTTGATCAAAATTTATTGGGTTTTGTCCTCAAACAAGTATAAAATATAAATCTTTTCTAAATCAAGCTAGAAATCAAGCCAGAGCCTCAACAACAGCTGGGATTTTAAATTAACATTGCACAAGTTGTCTGCCTCACAGCTGGTAGCTACAAGCTGAAGATTGCAAGGACTGCGGAAAGGGAAGTGTTAGCTTTCTAAAGCAAGCCTGCAGAGGCGAACGCACACACACATACCATGTTTAAATCAGAGTTTATGACAGATACTCATTTCAGATGTACAGGCAGTGTGACAATAACTTAGTGTAGATGGAAACGTCAGTTCCGTAGACACAGAATAACACCAGTTAGAACTGTTTTGGGTTTTAGGTCAACATTAACATCCTTTGCATAAAGTCCAACCTCAAGTAAATCAGTTTCAT